GGGTTTGGTACACACATTTCTCAACATGGAAAACAAGGCAAATAATTAATTCGTTTAGAATAGTTTGGTGGATGTTTTTAGCAGCCTCTTAGAAAAACAGCTGTAATAAATCACTGGTGCAGATCAAGAACTCTTAGAGTCTGGCCAAAACACCTTGCACCAGCTCTAAGTTTTCTTTTGAAAAGGATTTTATAGAGCTTTAACCCCCACTGCCAACCAGTGGCAGAGCCAGGAATAAACCCTGGCAGTGTGAAATCCCACCTGGAGCAAATCCTGGCACTGCCAAATCCTGCCTGTCCCTACTGAGCTGTGCCCAAACAGGGACTTTCCCACATCAGTCCTGGCTGTCCCACTCCTGCCCTGAGGGGAGGGAGAGCAGGGACTTGGCAGTGTTTGACTGCTGATGGCCAGCACGTGGGGAATTTCCAATGGGAGAATGGCCCAGGGTGTCCAAGTGCCCCGTGGGGATGATGCTCCAGCCTGGATGGGCTCTTGAGTGCCCGCCAGCAGCGGCCCATGTGGGCAACGATGATGATGATGCTGATGATGCCCACGTTTGCTCCCTGTGGACCCTGTCTGGAAGCCCAGATGGACAAGGATGATGAGATTACGATGCCCATATTTCCTCCCCACAGACCCTAAGTGCCCACATGGGCAATGATGAGGATGATGATGATGATGCCCACGTTTGCTCCCTGTGGACCCTGTCTGCATGCCCAGGTGGGTGAGGATGAAGATGATTATGACGATGAAGCTCGTGTTTCCATGGACCACACCTGGCCCCTGAGCTCAGCTCTCAGCAGCTCAGGTCACACCATGAACTGGCTGACCTGGAAAGGGTTCCAGTGGGTCCCACAGCCTCATCCTCTGTCACCATTCCCATAATCTCTGCTCCACTGAATTTCTCCAAGTCTTCCAACCAAAGCCCAGGGATTTTGCCTTTCCCAAGGGGTGGGATGCAGCAGGCTGCTCCCAGCCTTGCCACCCTCACCCTGAGCTTTGGCACCACTCAAGCAGTGTGCCTGTTCCCACCAGAGCTGTGCCCGTTGTGCTGGGGCTGTTCTGACATCAAAATGCTCCATCTCATCTTGGGGAACTCCGGGATCTTCTTTTGTTGAAACCTCCAGTGCTCAGCTGTTGTCAGGTGTGCAAAGGCAGGAGGAATGGCACCATAGCAGAGTGCAGGGACACACGTCCCCTCAAGTGGTGCCACAAAGCCCAGGATTCCCACAGCAGGCCTCGGGGATGAACCTGGACCTGCCATCAGGTGCCTGGTGGTTTCTCCAGGGCAGGTGGGAGTAGGTGGTTCCAGTCTGCTGGGGTGACTCTGCCATTTGCTGCACTGGGTTAGGGGGGGAAATGGACCTGAAATTGTTACTGTCATTGATTATATCTCCTAAAACCCCTCAGTAAACGTGGACAGGGGGGGAAGAGGAAGGGAACTATCTGGGTTTTATCACTAGTGGGTGTGTGATACCACTAAAGCCAGATGGAGATCTTTCACCACAGTCCTCTCCTCATTTTACTGTTACCTTTTCATATGCAGACCTCAGACCAGAAGCTTCAAGAAGTGCCTTGACTCTTTCCATTCTCATGAGAAAGGAGGTTATAATGTTTTCCCTAGATCACCCAGAAAAGCAGAACAGAAGTGTAACCACAAGAGGAGAAATACAATTATTGTTCTTCAGACAACAAGTACTATGTGAAGAGGCTGTTTTAAGAGTTTTAAGGATTTCTCCTTCAAAACTACCACCCTGTTTTCTTTCCCTTGGTTTTCTCCTCATCCAAGAGACTCTGCTACACCCATCTGTGAGGACACCCTGCTCAGAGATCACAGCACCACAGCCTGGGAGCTAAACTTTATTGTGCAGAACTTGTGCCCTGGGGGGTGCCAAAGTCAAGCTTTGAGTTTTTTCTGAGCCTTTTTTACCCTGTTTCTGCTCAATCCTGGTGCTCCTGCTCCCTCAGCTGACCTGGTAACACTTCATCAGCTCCACTACTGTCCTCTCCTCCTCAGTTTCCAGGGGACGGGCTTCCCTCCCTGCCTCACAGCTGGCCAGGCAGCTGGGCTGGCCAGCAGCCTGGCAATCCCTGCTCTGCAGCTTCCTGAACAAATCCTGGCTGCTCTCCTTCTCCGCCTGGCTCAGGAGAGCCACGTTCAGCCCGAAGCGCTTGGTGCCCGCCAGGCTCTGCAGGACCTGAAGGACGGCAGCTCTGTCTCCAGGATGGATGTTCTCTGCCAGCACTGTCAGGAATTCCCCCAGGAGGCCAAAGCCCACATCAGCCTGGAAGATCCTGCCCAAGGCCTCCCCTCCGAGCTCCAGCAAGAACTGGTATTTCTCTGTCCCACTTTTCAAGCATCTGCGCCAATCTCGGTGAAATTCTGCAGCAGTGCCAGGCAGCTGATCCAGCTCCTGGAGGAGAAAGGAGACACTCAGGTCCTTTTGTTTTGTTCCCACCTGAAGACTTTGAGCCCTTTGATGGACAGCTGAGATGTTTTTACTAGGGGCTTTGGCAGCACAAGGAGCTGCTGAGGGGGAAAAGGGGAAAACAAGGAAACGGCAGGTGCCTTTAACCCCGAGAAACCAGGGAACTCCAGGGGAAAAGGGACGTGTGGATGAGGTGTGACACCCAGGGTGAGCACAGATGGCTGTGGAGTGGCCCCAGCCCCAGCCAGAGTCAGACTCTGCCCAGCCTGGATCCAGCAGCACTGCCTGGGAAGGGATCTCAGAGAGATCAGGGCAGGAAACACTCTGAGCACACAGAGGAAAAACCAGGGGGTGGCAGAGCAAAGGTGGGAGATGCAAACCACAGAAAATGTCCAGATGCCCTTTCTGGTACCACCTGGCTTTGGTGGGTGTCTGCCAGAGCAGAGGCTGAGAGCTGAGCTCCAAGTGGCATTCCCAGGTAGAGGAAATCCCATTTTATACCAGCTCCAATGAACTGCTGAGCCCAGCCCTGCTGGGTCACCAACACACAGGCTGGAGGAGGAGGGAAATGTGCAGCTTTTCTACAGCCAGGGAACAAAGCAAAGTGACACCAGCTGGGGCTGAGCACAGGTGGAGAAGCTCTGGAGATCTGAGCCTGGTGCTGATGGAACCAGGAGCAGGATTTGCTTGGGGAGATCACTGCTCAGTCCAAGCAAACACAGAACTACTCAGGAGAGTTGCAAAAGATCTTACAATAAACACAGGTCAATGAAACCCAGCATCATAAACAATCCTCGAGATTGTTTATAAGGCAATCCATGAAATTGCCTTATCATGGGAAACATCCAGTGACCAGGACACTCCAGCATGGACAGAGCCCACAGCAGGGGCAGGAGGTGACTCCAATCACAAATGGCTTGGACAGAAAATGTCCTGTCCCTGTTTCCCACTGCTGAGGGACCCAGTGAGCTGATCAGGCTTGGGCAGGATTAACCCAAGCCAGTTCTTTTCCATGATCATTAAACCATGGGCAATTCCCTGTGCTCAGGAACCTCTGCAGCCAGAGGCTGTCCCAGGGAGGATCCTGGTGCAGGCCTGGCCCTGGGTCAGGCTGCAGCTGCTGGGAGCTGCTCCCAGCCAGGGACAGCTCCCACGGACTGTTCCTGTCCCAGCACGGGGGCACTGGGAGCTCTGGGGCCAGGCTGTGCAGCCAGGCCTCCATTCCCACAGGGATGGAGCAGACTCTCCCTGAAGAGGCCCAGCCTGACCCCATGTTGACCCAAATTCTGATATTCAAGGGGCTGGAGCGTTGGCTCGCACCCAGAGTGAATCCTGAGTAACTCCTGCATTCCAATTAACACCCAGATGATTCCTGAGTCATTCCCAGCTGTGGATGAGGCCCCAGCAGCCCCTCCCTCACCTGTGGGATCTCCACAGCGTGGGCAGGTGCTGCCTGGGCTGGGGCTGCACAGGGATTCCACAGCACATTCCTCCTCTGTCCCAGCCTGTCCTCCTTCTCCAGAGGCTTCAGGTGAGAAGCCAGCACAATCTCCCTAAAGGGAACAGAGACATGAGGGACACATGGCAAGGGAAAACACTTTGAGGCTTCAAGCTGCTCCCCTGAGCCAATTTCTGACTTTGGGCTGTGTGGATCACCTATAGGGGCTGGACAGGCTGGAGGAGCGGGCGCTGACTAATACAAGGATAAACCAGCTTAAAATCCCTGGGGAATCCCATCAAGATATTTGGGGAGAAGCCACTTGAAAGTGTTTTCCTGCTCCTCGGGGATCAGGTGGCAGGGGGGAATGAGACAGACATGAATCCATGAATGGAATTTGAGCTGGTCCCAGAATGCCTCCCAAGTGTGGTCAAAGCCCTGGATCTACCTTTGGATCCTGGATGGAGATGGACAGGGAGCCCCCAGAGGGATCCACGGGAAACCCAGGAGTTTGGGGGGCACTGGGAGTGCCTAACACTGCCCCGTGGAGCCGCCCTGCCATCCCAGCCTGCTCACAAGCCCCGGCCACAGCAGTGACACTCCAGGGAGCAGGGACAGGCTGGGAAGGGCACAGGGGACACGTCATCCTCTGCTCCTGCTCTGCCAGCACGGCCTGGGGCTGTGGGGCTGGGCTGGGAACGGGAAAAGGTGACATTGTCCTGGGGAGGGGACAGTGCCACTCCACTGCTGGCTACAGCTGGGCCACCACAGGGGTCAGGCACGGAGCAGGGACAGATCTCAGCCCACACGGGGCCACCTGAGGAGCTCTGGGCCAAGTCTCAACCACGGCCGGGTGGGCTCTGCCCCGGGGCTGTTCCGGGCACCCCGGGGCCGCTGCCCTCGGGTCCCTCGGGGCAGCCTCGGACCCTCAGAGCTGAGCTCAGACCCGGGGGGAGCGCCCAGCCGAGCTCCCGGCCCCTCCCGGGCCGCTCCCCGAGCCCCGGACCTGAACTGGTCGTAGTCGGGGACGCCCTGGCGGAGCGCCCGCAGCTTGGCCTCGCCCTCCCGCTGCCGCCGCTCGTCCTCCGCCAGCGCCGCCCGCAGCTCCCGCTCCAGCGCCGGGAACGCTCCGGCCGGATCCATCCCGGGCTGCATCCCCGGCTCCATCCCGGGCCGCGGGCAGGCACCTGCGGGACGTGCGGACAGGGACAGCCCTGCCTGCGGTGGCTTCGAGGACACACTTCTGTCACAACAGCGCTGCCGGGACTGGCCCGACAGCCCCGATCCTATCGCGACAGTCCTGCCTTGTGAGCCCCAAGGCCGCGCACGGGGATGGCCACTGGGAAGCGCTCCCCTGCCCGAAACTCCCCAGGCCCTGACACACCGCCGGCCCCGGGGCCCCTTGCTGTGTCGCGACAGCGCCGCGGGTGACGAACACCTCAGCCCAGGGCCGCTCTCTATCGCGACAGCCCCGCGGGTGACGAACACCTCAGCCCAGGGCCGCTCTCTATCGCGACAGCCCCGCGGGTGATGAACACCTCAGCCCACGGCCGCGCTCTATCGCGACAGCCCCGCGGGTGACGAACACCTCAGCCCAGGGCCGCGCTCTATCGCGACAGCCCCGCGGGTGACGAACACCTCAGCCCAGGGCCGCTCTCTATCGCGACAGCCCCGCGGGTGACGAACACCTCAGCCCACGGCCGCTCTCTATCGCGACAGCGCCGCTCCCGCCGCCAGAGCGCCGGGGCCACGCAAGGTCCCCGGGGCTGCCCCGGCCGCGCCTGACAGGACCGGCCCCGCCGCCCCGCGCGGCCCCGCTCGCCCCGCGGCCCTCTGGATGCTCCGGAACCGGTCCCGACCCGGTCCCGACCCCGCTCCGGACTCAGCCGGCGCTCCTCGGAGGGGCGCGGCGCTGGCGGCGGGCGCGGAACGCTCTGTGGCGACAGGCGGCGAGGGCGGCCCGGGGCCCTTCGGCAGCGGCGGCGCCGGCGAGAGCAGCGGCGGGAGCGGAGCCGGGGCAGGTGAGGGAGAGCGGGACCGGGAACGGGACTGGGAATGGGAATGGGACCGGGAACGGGACTGGGACCGGGGCCGGTGAGGGAGAGCGGGAACGGGGCCGGGGCCGGGGCCGGTGAGGGACAGCGGGACCGGGACCGGGAACGGGACTGGGACCGGTGAGGGAGAGCGGGACCGGGAACGGGACTGGGACCGGGACCGGGAGTGGGACCGGGGCCGGTGAGGGAGAGCGGGACCGGGGCCGGGACTGGGACCGGTGAGGGTGAGGGAGAGCGGGACCGGGACCGGGCCGAGGCTGCGGACAGGGCCGGGGCTCCGTGCCCTGAGGCGGTTCTGTCACGGCCCGCAGTCCCTGCGCCCCCACCGATCCTCTCCCGCCCCCCAGCATGGACACCGACCTGTACGACGAGTTTGGGAACTACATCGGGCCCGAGCTGGACTCGGACGATGACGACGACGAGCTGGGCCGAGAGGCCAAAGACCTGGACGAGGTGAGGCGGGGCAAAGAGCCCCGGGGCCGGCGGGGTTCGTCCTGCCCGGAGCCGGAGCGGGGACGGGCCCGGGCTGCTGCCGCCCCGTGTGACTCTGGGCTCTGCTCAGTGCCCGAGGGTCGGAGTGTGCCGGTGTTTAAAGGATTACAAAAGCTGTTCCTGCAGAAAGGGAGATGCAGAGTCCTTGCTGGGAGCTCGCGGGCCGGGCTGTGCTCGGCTGGTTTGGTGTCGGGCGGGGTCCGTGTCCGGCGGGAGGGAGCCGAGGCTGCCGCGGGGAGCCGCATCCTGGTGGGGAGAGGCAGAGCAAGACCCCACGGACACGGGGGGAGCAGAGGGGCGGGGAGCCCCTTCCCATGGCCTGTGGGGTGGGTTGTGTTACCGGGTGTGATTCTTGTGCTGTGTGGGGTCGCTGCCTGGGCTGGTGTCCCTGCAAGGCCAGGGGCTGTTCCTGATCCTGTGCTGTGGGCAGAGCCATGCTGCTCCTCCAGGAGCTGCTCCCAGGGCACCTTTGGGGCTGCACTGGGGTCCTGGCTCGGGGTGACCCCAGGCCTGTCCCCTTGGGGGGCCCCACAGCCGCTCAGGGCGAGCTTTGGTTGCAGCTGGAGGATGATGACGATGACGATGACATGGGGGAGCACGATGAGGAGCACCCCGGGATGGAGGTGGTGCTGCACGAGGACAAGAAGTACTACCCCACGGCAGAGGAGGTCTATGGGCCTGAGGTGGAGACCATTGTGCAGGAGGAGGACACGCAGCCACTCACCGGTGAGTGGGGAGGAGGTGGCGGGAGGAGAAGGCTCTTAATGGATCTTTGGAAAGGGAAATAATCTTCCCTTCTCTCCTGCCCCTTTGGAGCCCCCTCCTAGCCTCAGGAGCTCTGCCTGTTGTGTGCAGATTTGGGCACTTGTGGTTTTTGCAAACCCAAAGGTACCTTGGAAGAACAGGAATCAGCAGAGATGGGAAAGCTGTGTAAGGGAGAAGTAAATGCAGTTAAGTGATCTCCTTTACCGGAATGGCTCAGCTGGAAGGGCCCTGCAGTGGCCATCTCCTGCAGCCTTGACAAACAGCTGGGAGAATCTGTCAGCCACAAAATTGAGGGGTTGTCAGCTGAAGTCCCCATTCCAGGGGCCATTCCTGGTTCAGGGGCTCTGGGAACAGTCTGTTGTTGTGTCTCTTGTTTCAGAGCCCATTATCAAACCTGTGAAAACCAAGAAGTTCTCCCTGATGGAGCAGACGCTGCCGGTCACTGTCTACGAGATGGAGTGAGTGTGGGGCTGGGGAGGCACATCTGGGCTCTGGCTTGGTGTCCCACTGACCTGAGAGCAGCCAGTTCCCAGGTTCTGAACCCAAAACAAGAGGAAGTGCAGGACAAACTGTTTCACAGACATTTTCCCTCCCCACCAGCAGCACAGGGTAGGGTTGCACACAAAAGGGGTTAGTTTCAGGTTCCTTGGCACCGGTTTTTGGTTCGGGAACCTTTTTTGGATTGTTTTGGTTCGCAGGGGCCTTTAAACCCCTTCCTTGCCTTGGGCGGGGCCCCTTTCCCTTTTCCCGGTTTGTTCCAGGTTCCGTTTTCCGGCTTTGTCTTTGGTTCTTTCCGGGATGGAGCAGCCACAGCTGCTCTGCCCAACCTGTTAAATATCCACACAGTCAGTGTGTAGCACACATCATACTGGGACATTTTGGGTTGATCCCTCTCTCAGATTAGGTCAGATTAGGTCCCATCTGTTCCAGTTTCCATTGGGAATTTTTGTGCTGCTGGCTGAGTGCAGAGTGCTGTGTCAGTCAGCAGTTGTGCTGTGCTTGTGGCCCAAAGCAGCTTCTTGGACACCAGGGCTGGGAGAAAACTTGGAAAAAATTCCAAATGCATTTAAAATTGGAGATGTCATATGTCAAAGGAGTTTTCTGTGGAATAAAAAGCATCCTTGGCTTTTTCTGGTAGAAGTGTAGTGTTGGTCTGTGCATTGTGGTGGGTAGGGTCCATGGCCCTGTACATGCAGTGTGTGTGCGTGTTGTCTCTCTTTGGGGTGAGCAGCTGGAGCTGTGGGGGTCTCCTTGGGCTCCTCTCTCCACTCACCACTTCATGGCCTGTCAGGGCTTTTCCCAGTTTGAATTCTCCTCTCCAGGTCCCAGAAGCAGGTGTGGCTGAGCAGCAGTTCCCTGGTGTTGAGCAGTGCCTCTGCCTGGTACCCAGCAGTGTTTTCCAGAGGGGACAGGAGTTCCTGGAGCTGCTGTTCACTCAGGGGTCCCTCAGCTGCCCGGGGCTGTGCTCGGTGCCTGGGGGGTTCAGCAGAGCTGGAGCAGAGCCCAGGAGCTGCTGGGGCTGTTTTTTCTCAGCCCTTGCTTTGGCTCAGTCCCTGACCTGGGCTCTGCATTATCCACCACTTCCCTGATCCTTGTGTGCTCTGCTCATTCCATTTGTAATTAATTCATTTTTCTCCTATTTGCTGATATAAATGGTTAGGATGGACCACGAGAAATTCCTTGTGGGATGTAGCCAGAAACCTGCAAGCTTGGTATTGATTTCCCATTTAGCCTTATTTTCAGACCAATTAGGAAGGTTTTAATCGGGGTTAGTATTGATTGCTGTATTTTTTAGGTCTTAATCAAAATGTTTTACATTAAGAAGTCTATTGCATCAGTGAAAATTTAATCTGTTTAAAAAGGAAATTATTTGACAGCACTTATTCTCTGCAGGCCTCTGGCAGTGGCTGCATGTTTTATAGCCTCCCTTTATTTTTTAGGGTTAGTAATTTAGGATCTCAATTATCTTTTGGCCAGCATCCATCCAGAAGTGACCAACTCATCATTACCAGCTCAGCTGCTGATTTGAAAAATACTTAATTCCTTAAGTCCCTGGAATGTCACTGTTTTAAGGCTTGAAAATCAGAATTAATGGTCTGTGGAGCCCCTGGCTGCTTTCAAAGCTCCATGGGGTGCTTGTTATCCAGCACCACGATTTACCTGACTGCCTGCCATGGTTTGAGTGGAAGTGCTTCATCATCTGAGTACATGGACGTGATTTTTGCTCAAGTACTGACTAGAAGAGAAGAAAAATATTCAATAATATTCAATTGCTGGCAGCTTTACCAGCTCCGTATCCTCCCACCCACTGCCATCTGTCTGGGACTCCAACTCTCTTGTCCTCCCCATCTGGAAAGTGGGATTCTTCCTCCGCAGGGCACTGGCAGGATAAAAGTTTGGCGAAGATTCAGGGGGCACCTTGGATAGAAAGTGTAGCTGAAAAGCAGCACCTTCTTTTCTTAGACACGGCAGAAGCCTCCAACAGCCTTTTGTGTTTTGTTCCTGCAGTTTCCTGGCAGATCTGATGGACAACTCGGAGCTGATCCGGAATGTGACTCTGTGTGGGCACCTGCACCATGGCAAGGTACTGTGAATGTCCAAAATGCAGGGATAGTGAGGTGACCTGCTGCTTTGCCAGCCCTCCTGGCCCCTGTTTCTCTGCAGCAGTACCTTCTGCTCCTCCTGCTCATGCACGTATTTATAGAACTCAAGGGTGGATTGGGTTAAAAGGGACCTTAAAGCCCATCCACTGCCACCCCTGCCATGGCAGGGACACCTTCCGCTGTCCCAAGCTGCTCCCAGCCCCGTCCAGCCTGACCTTGGGCACTTCCAGGGCTCCAGGGACACCCACAGCTGCTCTGGGCACCCTGTGCCAGGGCCTTGCCACCCTCACAGGGAGGAATTTCTTCCCACTATCCCACCTAACCCTGCCTTCCTGCAGCCTAAGGCCATTCCCCCTTGTCCTGGCACTAGGTTTCCCTGTGAAATTTGTAGATATTTTTGTAGGTTGAATTTGTAGGTTTTACAA